TTTCATTGCACTTCTCAGTTTGGGAAATGCTCGAATATGATAATTCTGCATGTGAGTGCACTAGCCCTGAACATACATGTAGGTGACCCGTTTGTGGTGTCTCATACCCTACCTCATGACCTGCTTTCTTTCTGCATCACTTGTATCTTGCAGGTATATCATCCTGTGACGACCACATTGAAGTCTGAATTTGAAGTGTGAAGATGCTTCAGCAACCACATCGTACTTTTCCATTGCTTTCATTGTGCTTCTACTGTGCATGTGTGTAAGTTGTGGGGTATACTTGTGATGACATTGTGTGCTGGCGACACGGTCAGATTTTGTCCATGCGTGTAACGTACACCTGCATGTTATGCATTGAAAAGGATCTGCCACTTACGATCCTGGGACGAGTATCAGGTCAGCTTTGTCTTGTGTGGGCTGTACCAGATTGCTGTTCACTTCTCTATCTGTTGGATATGTGACTTTCTGCAAGTTTCTGGTGTATGGTGGCCAGGGGCGTAGCACCCGCTACGACTGGTACGACCATGGCCGTACCACTTTTCGAAAAGTGTGGTCCATCCGGAACGTGCAAAACCGTAATAAAAAAAAAATCAGGATCCTTGATGCATATGCGCATCAGACTTTGACCTTTTTTCTAGACTCTTCGTAGATCTGTTATGCATCTGCAGTCGTACTGAGTACTGACACTACAACAATGTAGTCACTACTGTACTCGACTCGACTGCACACTGCGCCAGAAGTTCCCAGAACGCAGGATTTTGTGTCTTTTTTACAAAATTTTCCCGCGGGAGGTCCCACGGACCCCCTCCAACACGGCCTTTGGCCGCACCGACCTTCGGTCGTACCACTTCCAAAACCCCTCCTACGCCCCTGGTGGCCACTTCCTTGCTTGTCACTTTGTATGATATTACATTCTGTATTCGCTGCTTCCATGGCATGGTCTGCAAACTGCAATCCTTGAGCAAATGTCATGTTTGCTGCTATGTTGTGCTTTGGCCGTCAGCTTGTCTACGCATTGTACAGTCAACTTCACGTATAACGACACTCGGCGGGGCATCAGAAAAGTGTCCTTATTCGCGAAGTGTCGTTATACCCGAAGTCCCATCATATGATTGTATTACAGTTGGATGGGACTTTGCTCTGGGCATGGAAATTCTGTCGTTATTCGCGAATTGTCGTTATATCCGCAGTCGTTATTATCGAAGTTGACTGTAGTTGAATTATTTTGTTTCACATCTGACTTCCTGAAGTACGGTGGCCACTGCTTTGCATGGCATTATACATGAAGAATTTCCTGTTTGTGTCGTGTGCATGTGCGTATGTGTGCGTGGCCACATGCGTGTGCCGTGTGCACCCGCGTGTTTGTGTATCTGTGTGCGGGGTAGCGAGGTGGGGAGGGCTGGTATGTATCAGTGTGTTATTGCAGTCTCATGGCTACATACAGTACATCGCGCGCGTGCTCATCATGTTCACCTTCTGGGTTGGGGTGGGGAGGGAACGGAAAAAGAACTGAAATTATCCATATAAAAATCGCTCTGTGAGCGGTTCTGAAAAACCTTTACTGATACTGCCCCGTCGTAAAAGTAAGAAATTAGAACTGGAGCATTTCCCCCCCCCCCCCCCCCAAATGCGAACAGATCCACCTAAATCGCGAATGACGGGACCCGAACGCACCAGTAGCACGAGGTTCCTAGCTGTGGATGCAGATGGGGACGTTGGCCATGGTCGTCGATAATTGTACGTGTACTAGCAATACACTGCCACTGATACAATGTGCAATGTACTGCACTATAGTAGTGGTGGTGTCACCCTATGATAATAGACCCTTTGCACAATAAGCGAGAGGGGTCGAGACGGGGCATGCTGTGCACGCGCTGCACACTTGGCATGCAACCAGCATGCATGGTTTGCTGCAGGACGTGATCAAGTTTCCTGTGACAGGCTGTGTTTTCACGGTCCCGACGTGATGTTCATGTATGTACTCCCCAGCCTTTTTTCATTTGAAGTTTTTTTAGTTTTTGAAGGAAGAAGTTTCGAAATGCTTTCCAAGGACCACTTCTGGGTTCTTGTTTGCACCAACCGTCATCCCTAACGTTAGTCTAAGGAACCCACTTGTCTTTCCATGCGTTCCCTGGTGATGCTGGCATTCCGCACTCTGGAATCCTGGCTATCTGGCGAGAAGAGGGCCGCAGTGCTGCGATATCGTTCACAGTGTTGTGCTCGGAACACTTTGTCCATGACGACTTTCATCCTTGCTTTTGCTAAGATAATGAACGCCCTGCCCAGGGCCTGCTCTAGACATTCAACACAGCCCGGTCAGAGTGTACCTGGCGCATGCAGGCCAGCCGGGTCAAGCCAGATCAGATCATCCGGCAGAAAAACAACCAAAAAGCCTGCTCAAAACGCAGGAAAACAGAAAGGCGAATTTATTACCGGAAATCGGAAATTTTAGAGAACAAGGTGAACTATCAAAGTCCGCAAACGTAGAAGGTAAACGACATTACGTGAAGAATGCAAAGCAGTTCCATTGGATTCTGATTTAACAATTTGAAAAAAGGGAATTCTGTTTTCTAATTAGTGCTAGTAGCAGGACGAACACGTTCCCATACTAGAGCACTGGGGGGGGGGGGCAAATGCTATAGCCAAAGTTACGCTTTTGACTACGAGGTACCTGCTGCCCCATCGACTTTGAATGTCCTGACTTCCTGCTCGCTGATCGCGCTCGAACCGGTTGACCCTAGTTGACCCTACCCTAGCCGAGTTTCTCTCGCTTGTACTGTAGTGTGTACGGTTGCGCTAGATTTGCAACAGATGGGGTCCGCGAGTCGTAAAATGCCGGTATTTTAGGAATCCATTGTCAGTTTGAGACATTTTTCAGCCGGGTCAGACTGGACCCGGTGTTATCTGTTCAGCCAGGTCGTGCAGTTCCCCAGCCGGGCGCGTGACCCGGCTGACCCGGCTCTCCAGCAGGCCCTGCAAGTGCCAAGAGACTCTGGAGCTTGAGAAAAAGGCATGACCCATCCCTGTCTTCGCTATTGGAAGATCGACTGCTTGCTGGCGCTGCTCGAGCTGCTGATGTTGAAGTGGAGAGAGACGCAGCCTCATCGCTCAGGTGTGCGGAGAAAGTCATCTGAGTTCGAGCTGTGGCTGCGTGCACGATATGACCGACTTTCACATTATGCACATAGCCACCAAAGTAAAACTCATGGACACTATCCACGGGCTTGTTCACTAGTACTATTCCATCAGCTCCCTCTTCACTGTCGTCGGCGACTTGCCCCTGCATTGGAGACGAGCAAGCATGGTGTGGCACTCACTCTGGGAAACAGAGGTTCATCACTCATCCACTGGGAGTCGGACGAATGAAATGTTGGGCATGATGAAGGTATACTCGAGGAAGTGGTGCCCTTCTTAGTTCTAGGAGCATCAGGGTTCTGCATAGAGAAGTGTGTGTGTGTTCTCTACATGGACAGAGGAGAGAAGGTAGAGAAGCGAAACATATTTCAATCTGCAGTACAGTAATCCGAAATATCCACTGAATGCGGAAGACTTACCGCTCCAACGACTCCTTCTTTTTCCAGACAGATACGCACCCTCATTCAGCAGAAAACTGTTCAGTTCCTTCACAGACCATTCTTCATTGGACAGTTCGTCCACGGGTTCCACAGCCATCGATGGCAAACCACTCGACACTCTCCCCTCCATCTCCAAAATGGAAAAATACAGTGTTCCACCATGCTCAACAACTGATACTCTGCACAAAAATCGAAGAGGATGCCCCGTCTCGGATCACGTGACCGTTATTGTGCAAAGGGTCTATTCCCGACGATTATGGTCGTACACGTCCTTCTTCTCTTTCTGATTCTCCTAGCTCTTCTTTCATTCTCTTGGGTGGTTACCAGCAGCCAGCGTATGCCGGAGTATGTGGTGTGGCGTGTGTGTGTCAAAAAAGAATGAAAAAATGGAAAAAAATGAAAAATAGAGATTCACTGGCCATAAAAAGCCACTTCAATCAGCTGTGTGGTGGATACCAGGCTAGAATTTAGTGTTAGTCAATTCATCAGCCTTGCAAGCTGTTGAATGGTGTAATCCTAGCATAAGTATTAAGTTGCTACGTCGACTATAGCTGTTCGCTATCATCGCTTCCGCGATGGGCATGTCTGAGTACCTATGTGTGTGGTGTGTGTGCATGTGCGTGTACGTGTGTGTGTGCGTTCGTGTGTGTGTCAGTCAATTCATCAGCCTTGCAAGCTGTTGAATGGTGTAATCCTAGCATAAGTTGCTACGTCGAACATAGCTGTTCGCTATCATCACTTCCGCGATGGGCATGTCTGAGTGTGTGTGTGTGTGCGTGTGTGTGTGTGTGTGTGTGTGTGCGTGTCTGTGTGGTGTGTATGTGTGTGTGTGTGTTTGTGTGTGTGTACGTGTGTGTGTCAGTGTCTGCTCTAGGATTGTAGGACAGTCGGGTACACGTGTACCTGGTGCAATCATTTCAACCGGGTCGAAGCCGGGTACACATGTACCTGGCGCTGTCTCACCAGCCGAGTCACATGCTCTCCATGTCGTAGACAAGCCATGGACGGCCTGTTTCCAAGACTCCTGGAAGCAGGTCCTGTGGATTCGCCTCTTCGCTGGAGGCTCCAATTCCAAAAAACAACACCTCAACGATCAAGCTCGAACTGAGCACGTGCACACACCGGATACTGACTACTTTCACTTCGACGCGCGCCTCTGCATTATCTGTCACACATATATACATGTCAGTCCTTTCAAAGTTCGAACGTGTAAAGTACCAACCGGGTCACAGGTGATCCGGTACTATATTTTCGACCGGGTCCAAGCGCCGCCCAACCGGGTCGATTACCCGACTCACCCGGCTCTGGAGCAGGCACTGTGTGTGTGTGCGTGCGTGTGTGTGTGTGTGTGTGTGTGTTATTGGTACTAGTAGTACAGAGCTACTTCTAAAGCACTGATGAAATCCATCGGAAAACTTGGGGAAGCGCGAAAACGTACCAGAAATATCCAACACTTGTGTGGAAACCCCACTAAAGTTGTTTAAAGGAAATCACAATGCAACGCTGCATCATATGTGTAGTTATACAGTAGTTCTAAAGTACATGCAGAGAATTTCAAAAGAATACGTCATCAATAATTCAAAAATTGAGGATGCAAAATGGAAAAATACATTGTACCCAGAAAAACGATCATTCAAGTTAAGGTATTCATCAGCTCGGGGGAAAGTTGTAAACGGGTCAAATCAACGTGTGCATCCATTATGAGCCGATCAGAACATGCAGCAAAAAGAAATCAATGGCCAACTGGATAATAGGTCATGATTCCGTGTGACTATTGTCCATGTCCAAAGTGCAGCCTGCACATTACTTTGAGCAAGCACTCCACTGCGCAAGGCACTGGACAGAGATAGGCGTTGGCCACCACGGACAGCACACGACAAACCTACGCGGTGCACCAGGTTTTGTCGGATGCCTTGCCGGCTCGAGACGACCTCATCATGAGCTCAACCGTCACTGAACCGTGCACGCCTAAGAGGGAGTGCAAAAAACAACCATAAACAGAAGAACACCCATGGTGAACAGGTACAATCTCGGTTCACAGTTCCGAAGGTTTTATTTATTCCCGTGGCGGCACTTTGAGAAAATGTCCTTTTTCATATAATAACAGGGACTAATTTAACCGGTATCGCATCGCAATTTGCGACGCAAAACACAGTGTCTGCGATTCGAAGTTCGTAGTGAGTCGCGGTAAACTGCGACACAACATACAGCTAAGTATGGCCCTGGACATAGACTTGTAGTGCACGCGTAGCGCATGCACATGTGTAGCTTTACAGTGTGTGTGGCTGGTTTGGCGCCACGAGATGGCGCGCCATGCACTGTGACTAGATTAGACTGTGTGTGTGTGTGGTTGTCCAGCCTGCACTGCAGGTAGATTTTACACCATACCCACGCGCGGGCCGCGGGACCATGGCCATATGTCACACTATCTCCGCACGCGCACCGCAGCACGTGCACTTGGTCTTGGAAACTAACTAACTAATACTTACTTGAAGTGCAGCCCAGGAAGCGCGAGGCGAGTGTCGACAAGTACTTCACCTGCTTTTGAGATTTAGACCGCGTTGCTTCACTAGCAGTAGGCGTCTCGACCGTTCAGGACTTATCTTTGTAAAATTCTGCTAGCCTTATTGATGAAGCCTCTTCACTGCCGGCATGTCTGTGAAGCAAGGTACTGTGGACAAGTGGATTGCTGAATTATTTGATCCCAAAAAAGAATGGATTCGCGCAGAGTCGAGTGGTGGAGCTGTGACCAAGATATTTTGCAAAATGTGCAGGGAGAAGGCGTCCTCGCTTCGTGGTTTGAGGCAGCATGGCGTTTGTTGACGGTATAAGTGGAAGTGCACTGAAGACTGCATTGTCGACGGAAAAAAACTGCTATGCAAAATTGTTGCGTTGCTATGCAAACATCGAGGTGTGTAGCAATTATTGCTATGCAATTTTTTTGAAGTAAATTAGTCCCTGAATAATGTTCCGCGCCCTGCTGCTCCCCCCCCCCCCCCCCCAAGCCAGTAATGGCTTCTCTCTGTACTCATGTATTATTCCCGTAGCTATGCAGAAGACGTTACTTCAGTAACGTCTGGCGCTAGCCAGGGTCCACACAGCTTTAATTTGGTATTTGTGTGTTTGTTTGTTTGTGTCACGCCTGGCGCTATCCCGTATCCGTCCCGTACCGTACCGTACCATCAAACACAGCTGGCTACATACAGCAGGGCGCAATACTCAAATAGGGCTTTCAAACGCAAGATCATAAAGTGAAGCAACTTGGAAGAATGGGTATGAATGCGAAGTGTATGGGGGAATGCATGTAGGGCGATAGTGCGGGTTCGAATCCCAGGATATACCTGAAAAAAATAGGAGAATTGAAAAATTTATAACATCCCTAATTCCCTATGCTTTTTTGCCGTCATCAAGGCGGTAGACGGTGTCGTATTACCCTCGATCGTACCTGTCCCGTACCTATCCCGTACCGTACCGTACCATCAAAGACGGCTGGCCACAATGCATATTCAAATAGGGCTTTCAAATGCAAGATCATAACGTGAAGCAACTTGGAAGAATTAGTATGTATGCGAAGTGTATCGTGGGATGCATGCAGGGCGCGCGATAGTGCGGGTTCGAATCCCAGGTTATGTCTTAAAAAAAGGAATTTTTTAAAGAATTTATAACATCCCTATGCTTTTTTTGTCTAGGTCATCAAGGCAAAAAAGCATAGCGTAGGGCCCTGAGCTTCCAAGCTCTCTCGTTTGTTCTACACCCCCCCCCCCCACACACACACACCACCCCTACCCTAGCGCTTCCACTGGTCAAATGCTCCACCGGTGTCCGCATGTGTCACACTCACTCAATAATCTGTGCTACTCTCTCAACGACTTCCTCCCGAGTGAACGCTGCCAAGATGCACAGAAGCTCATTGCAGCTGATC